TGTAAACAGAACCTGGGATGCTATCTGGTAGCTGATGCAGAACAGACATTCCATACAAGTTAAGTAAGTGGATCAATGAAAGAATGAGTTGCCCGTGGGAGATCACAAGCCCACTCAGCTCAGGAGCAAGGAGCATGAGGAGTAAGAACCATCCTGGACACTGATAACCCCAAGCCTGTGGGCCCTTGAGCAGGGAGGGCACTAGGCACTGTCGTCCAAGCTCTTGAGGACAGTCAGGAGAGAGAGATTCCTGGGGCAGGAATGTGCTAATGTGGATGCCTGGGAAGGGAGCCTCAACTCCTACCTCCCGTGACCAGGCTGGTCAGCCTCAGAAAGGGCTCTGACACCTGCTTTGGGTAAAATGCAAGAGGAGGGCTTGGGGGAGGCAGCAATTCAGGACTGGGCAGAGCGGGGGTTAACTGGAAGCAGACAAGGATGTGTTTGAAACCTTGGAGAGGGCTGGTGGAGGATGGAGACATTTTCCAGGGTATGGAAAATTCCCGGGAACTGGAGTGTAACCAAGGAATTGGCCTGAAGCCCCATAGCAGGGACAAGGAGATTCTCAGAAGGCCCCCTCTGCCCCTCACAGCCCCCTTCTCCTCCTCACGGCGCCTCCCCTGAGCTACACCCGCCTGGGGCTGCAGCACAAACCTACTGGAGCTGGTGGCCTGGGGTGAACCCCTCTTGGAGACAGAGCTCAAGGTCCTGCTGCTAATGGGTCCAGTCCCACGGGAGCCCAGCTCCTTTGTCCTCCGTATCTCTAACACCACATTACTCCCTGCTGAGCTCAACTCTGGACCTGATCCTCGACGCCTTTTCTGATCCAATCTGATTTCATCCAGGTCCTGTGCCTTCTGGCGGTGACCTGGGACCAGGCTTCTGACTCATGACTTTATCACGTTTGGTCAGAGTGGAGAGAGCTCTGAGTGTGGCCATAGGGTACTTTAAACCCTGGTCCTGAAGCCCCTGCTCCAGGTGGACAAAGCCATTCTCGCAGCAGCTGGGGCACCCGCCCTCCCTGCCCAGAGGACCCTCAGCAGCAGCTTCAGGGTCTCCACGCCTGGGGTGGGGGCGAGGCCACAAATCCAAGTGGAAGCCTTGCCATCTTCTCATGCCCGACTTGCTGCCTTACATCACCCACCTTGGCTGGGTTCCTGAGTGCCCAGACCCCTCATGAAGCCTTTGCCTCATTCATCTCCTCATTCCTTCATTCATTCACTCATTCCACATGCCAGGCAGTAGGCTCGAGGGAGACGCATCAGTCGTGAATTTTTTCCTCGGTGGGTCCACATCTGAGCTTGAGGAATCAGACCCGTACTAAAATCAACATAATATAAGGAAGAAAATGATAGCAAATAGTTAACCAGAGCAGGACACTGAGAAGAGACAAAGTGCTATGGGTCATTTCGAAAAAGGAGTTCACTTCCAGGGGACATCTGGGAGGCTGTCCTGGAGGAGGAGGCCTTTGAGCTGCTTTAATGATATTTGGATTAGAAGTTGAAATCAGCCCAGGACTGTGTTCCCACTTCCCAGGGGGAATCGCATTGTTACAGGGACCTGAATTTGACACAGGGTGGGTGCTGAGCGAATGGTTGAACATTAAGCACCCCTTGCTGACCTTCTGGAATGAGCTTTTGGTCGTTAGGATAGGTAGAGGGTTCTGAGCGTGGTTGGAGGCTCTGAAATCACGCTGCTGGAGGAGGGGCCACACCAGTGGCAACTTCTGTTTTCAGCAGGAGTTGGGCCTGTGTTATGGGGGATGGTGCTCTGGCCTGCCCCTTTGGCCCAGTCTGTACCAGTGGCTGACTCAGGTAAGGCCGCAGGCAGGCCTTTACCAGTGATGGTGGGCAGAGGGAGGGAGGTGTCCCAGTTCCCAATTTCAATGCTGAGAGCTGCCACTCAGGCTGAAACAGGTTGCTTTCCTGTCCTCTGGCCACCCCAGGCCATTTGAATTCTCCCAGTGGGCCAGGCCCTCCCTTGCCTCTCAGCCTGGGCACCCGCTGGTCCCTTGGAATACGCTTCTCCCTCATCACATGGTGTATTGATCAGAGTTCTTGTAGGAAACAGGTGGCCTCCTAGATGTTTGATTGGAGAGACTTAGTGGAGGGGCTGTGTACAGAGGGGTGGGCATGGTCAAGAACCCCGAATGGGATGTTGAGGCACAGGAGCCAGCAGCAGTGGGAAGTGGGAGGGTCAGGGGAGGGGGCGGCACTAGCAGAGCCTGGCAAGAGGCAAGGACTAAGGCAGAGGGATGCTGCAGCTGAGAGCAGGCAGAGCAGGGAGAGAGTGCTCCATGCTCTCCTGCCTTCTGATCCTCCCCACCTTCTGATCCCTGCTTGGGCTTCATAGACCCACCCCAGCTTGCAGGCAGAGGCCTGTGGTCAGCCGCCTGGGCTCCAAGCAGGCAGATCCCCAAGAAGGAATCTGGAGGGCCAAGGAAGTAGGGAGCCCCCTGGTAGCTCCTTCTACCTTCAGGTCTCAGCACCATCCTTCCTCGGCCGTCCTGAGGCTGTCTTGTGCACTAGCACCAAGCAGATGGAGCCTGACCACCCATGGTGGACAGTGAGCCCAGGACAGGGACAGAGTCTTACTCATCCTTTCACTCCAGCACCTACCCCGGCCTGGCCCAGAGCACAGAGAACTCAGTAAGTAAAAATGATGAGAAGAGCAGATAAATGGGAGTCAGGCCTGGGTTCAACACCTGCCTAGGTGACAGTGCCTTGAGTGACCTTTCTGTGAGCCTCAATATCCTGATTTCAAAAACCCAGCAATAATAGCTAACATGTAGGTGTTACCGGATACATACCCAGGTTCTTTACCCACCCACAGAAGAGGGGCCAAATAAAACCTGGAACACCAAGCTTATGGCAAGGAAAACATTTTCATTTCGGGTGACGTCAGCCAGGAGATGAGAATGAGCCCTCAAATTCATTTCATCTCCCCGAAAAGTGGGACACGAGGTGTTTTAAAGGTTGTGAGGAATGTGGCTGCTCGTAGGGATGGGGAGCCTGTGGCCTTGTTGGTCGGTGCTTTCCCACCAGCCTGCGTTTGGCCTTGTGAGGCTGCTTGCAGGGAGGGGGATGGCGAGATAAGGGAATCAGCAGGTGGGTGTCCTTGGTTGTCTGCCTCAATGTCAGAGGGTGGATTCTAGTGCCAGGAAGCCAAGGAGTTGAGGTTTGGGTAGCTTCAGCTGCTTGATATTCTCTGGATATCGGTTGCCCTGTAATAATATTTCAAAAGACCTATCACTAGCCAAAACTTCAGTGTAAGTCCAGTGTGAGGCCACCTGGGCTTTTAACAATTTGTAACTTCTATTTGCCTTGTGAAGTTCAGGGATACAAAGGTTTAAAAACCCAATATTTACATATGAATGCAACTTACAGAAGCAGGGAAAGGGGATGAGTGCTTTTGGTTTTAATTCTATATATGTCGGGTTTAACGTAGGGGAACTGATGTCAGGGCTGGCATCAATTCCCCCCTGTTTTATGTTCATTCATCAATCTTAGGGATTTGGGGCAATGACTGATCTAGCTCCTTCCTGCTGAATCGGGACATAGATCTGGGTTAGAGGAATGAAATTATTTTGCACTTATTTGGAAATATTATTTTTCCCAGCTTCAGGTTGACATTTTGTATTATTAGATCTTTTGTACCTTGTTCAACAGTTTTGGAACAACATCTAAAGGCACATTAAGTATCTGACCAGAAGGATAAGAGGTATAGACAACCCAAATTTTAACAGTCCCTGAAAAATAGATTTAATCCCTTGGGGAATCCAAGAAAACAGTTCTGAAAACCAGTCTGGGCCTGGTACCTCTGGGGAATACCTGCTGATAAGAGGCATTGGTTGTTCCATTTCATTGAACCAGTCTCTTAGTAAGGTGATGATAATAGGTGGGTTACCAAAGTTAGGCCTATGTTGTGTAAGCAAGCACCAAGTATTTAATAAGAAGCATTTCTAGAGAAACAAAGAGAAAAAACAAGGTTAATGGTTGGAGCAAGTTATAAACCAGTTTCTGAGCCCAGGGGGTAGCGAATCAAGAAGATTTCTTGAAGTCAGGGTCAAAGCATCTTTTGCAGTTTGAAACACCTCTGATGGTGCCATCGGGTGTTCAGGTATCTTTCTGAGTGTCCTACACAGCAAGAGGCATGAATCTTTTTTAAGTTTGTATCAAGATTCCAGTTTCAATTTGCAAGGCTTCAGGAAAAAGTGTAATATTAGTTTTCAATGATTCCAAATGAAAATGATGGAAAAAAATGGAAAACATTAGTTTGGAGATTTATAGCCAGATATTTCAGGAGACTAGAAGAATTCAGGATGCAGACCAGTTTACAGACAGAAAACAAAAACTTCGAAGATAATTAACAGAACCAGAATCCAATATCCACAAATGTGTGTTATAGTTTCTAGTGAAACATAATTTTTCTCTCTAAAATCTCCCTCATTTTGACCAAAGACAGCCATATTAAGACCCGTCAGTTTACAAAATAAGTCTAGTTTTAATAAAGTTGGCCCAATTATTTACATAAGTACAGCAAGAATAGCAACAGATCATATAGGCTCTTTTAAACCTGCTTTGCTGGAACTTTTTGTAAGGCATCTCAGATTGGACTTTAAAGGCCTCTCAAGGCCAGGAAAGCCAAGCCAAGGATTTTGTCATCAAACTTTGCCTGCAATACCTACTGATTTGGGTGAGTTCTTCTCTTCTTTTGAGGTTCCCCAAAATATTGAGGTTCCATGCACCTGCCAGATAAGTGACTTTCCTTACTTGTCCAGTAAGGTTGCTGTTTAGAATGCTATAAATAAGGTACAGGCTAATATTTCCAAGTGGCTATATTCCATAGAGTCCAATCTTGTCTCTCAAAAGCTGTCTGGTCATGTCTGACTCTATGTGTATTTTTCTCACATATGATATTCCAGTCAAAGCTTTGGTAATATAACCAATGTTTCCAACTGTGTCCTGCTATAAGGAGAACAGATTCTTATTGAGCTTATGCCAATAACTATATTGCCATGGAATACGAGTATTTACTTACTAAGAGTTTCCAAATTCTGGAGGGATCACGTAGAGAGAAAAAGATAACTGTTTCAATTCTGCTTACAAAGGTATAATTTACCAAATTGTTGTCAGTCATAGGTAGCTTGAGAGAGAAGCAGAAAAGTTTTCCTTAAACCTGAAAAAAAACAAAACATTAAAAAGTCAGCAACATTTGAAACAAAAATTCATATAAATTATAATTATCCTCATCAATTCATTCACTCCCATGCAATTGATTCTTGATCTTAATCCTCTGTTAGCAGTTTCACGAAGTCATCAGTTTCTCAGTTAGAATTCTGTAATTTCTTACCTAGTTCAGTTTTATGATCTGAAAGTTTATCAGAAAAGTGTATTCTAGAGAGTCATTGTCCTTTCCATGAATTTCTCTGAGGATTAAAAATATTTGCCAAAACATCAGAATGAAACAACTGTCTGCAAACAGTAAAAGACTTACAAATGGCAATTGACAAAGAAATTTGGCTATTTCTGAAACATACAACACTTTGAGATAATAACTAGTATTATGACTGACAACCAGGACAGATCAGAATTTCAGGAATGTTGTATAATTTTCAGAACACTTATATTAATAACATTTACCCACATAATATAACCTAGGAAGGCTTATTATCTTTTATTTGACAACATTTCCCATGTAATTTAACATACCAAATAAGTCTAATTAGTTCAATATCTTCCTCTTTATAGAAAAAAGAACAAATTTTTTGAGAAGTCTCAGGGCTGTTTGGACATTAAAGTTCCTTTTTAAGTTAAAAGAAAGACTTTATTTTTGGCAGAAGTTCATTAAAAATATCAAAAGGTTTCAAAACGCTTGGTCAAATACGAAACAATGCCTAGTTATCCATTTAATCAAGGTGACAACAGAAACAGTCAAATGCAAACAGAGAGTTAAAACAGTCAAAAAAAATAATAAAAACCTAAAAGGCAGACCTCAGTCCTTTAGAATATAAGAAATTATTTTAACAATACATAGATTTTTCTGCCTTTTAGTTAGACTTACTCAAAGGAACACCTTTTTAACCTCTATATAAAGAGTAGACTAAAAGTTTAAGAAGATTACATTTATGAGAGAAAAAGCCAAATTCTAATTTTCTGCCAGCTTGCTTTAGCCAACTCAACCACGTACAAATTTCCTCAGCATTTTACTTCCACAAACATTTTATAACTTATTTTTACATTTAGAATTTGTCCCATGTCTTCTTGTCCCCTAATACTTTAGGACAAATTTATCTTTCTTAACAAAACAAACAAAAATATTTCCATTCCTTATACCTTTCTTACTGAAATCATACATTTTATTTTCCTTGAATTTTCCCTAATTTTTAGTAACTTTAATCACGTATTAGAATTTTTAACCCTTAGAAACATTAATTTTTAAGTAAAAACTAAGTAAGAAAGCAATTATGAAGTGTCTTTTATATTAGCATTTTGTGGCTTGACAAATTTATAAACACTTTATAAAATTTTAGAAACATGTTACTTTATAGTACAATCTTTTAACAAAACACAAGACATGTTTACCAATAGACCTAAAACACCTTGTGTTTTTTTTTTTTTTTGTAATAAGAAGCCAATGGCAGACAAATCTATGCATAGTAATCAATTTTTAATATTTTATCATGTGTGGAAATGACCCAGATACTCAATAAATTTTTATCATTTAACTTAACTTAGCAAAACTCTCACGTTTTAAGTTACCAAAAAGATTTTGGAAGCTATTTTTTAAGTATATATACTGTAAAACATAATTATTGAAACTAAAAACTCTTATCCATTTTTATCAAAATTATTTTTTTAATAATAATGGTTAGATTAAAAATTTCATGTGCCATTAAAGCAGTTAGTCATCATCTTAAGTTGTTTTAACTACATACACCATAACACACAATTATTGCTAAAATGTTCCCCAAAAAACTTTCATCCTTTTCACACCTAATTAGTTTACTTGTTCCCAATAATTATATTCAGATTGTCTACAAAACCCTGATGAGACATCAGACAGAAACAGTTATTATTCTGTTATTACTTTTGCTGACAAATTTTGTAACAGAGATAACATGTCTGTATCAGATCCAACGTTGATAACTTTGAAAACATATTTATTTTAAATCAAACCAGCAAACTTAAACAGGCTCTCATATACCAATGATCATTTTACATCATGCTAGATAACTTTGTATCTTAGAAGTTTCTGCATATCCATCAAAGACTGCACTGCATTATGAGAGGTTTTGAATCTTTTCTTTCCATGCCGACCTCAAGGTGGACTCATCTGAAACATAGGTTTCCCAGAATGGCCATAACAATTCCAAATTATCTTAAAAGTTGACTTATTTTCACTTGCTTAATTTTAGATCAGGAATTTGGGGGAGTTGAAGGGGGGAAGCTCAGCAGGAGAGGAGAGAGGAGCAGCAGATTTGGCCTCGGTTGCTGCATGTTTAATTATTTAATTATTTTCTTTTAAAGAGGCAGTAAAGTATTCCTGATTTCATTTAGAAGCCTCAAAAAATTAAAATAGGGTTCCCATTGGTTGTTTAACTTTGTAGCTGGTTTTTTCCAATTGCATATGTAAATACACCAGTTTGGGTAAACTAAAATTGCCCTGTTTTGGCCATTTTAAAGTGAGCTCTCCTTTAGTATGTTCAATTAACATTGCCTGAAGGGTAGATTTATATGTTCTTAAAATATCAAGCAGGGAAACGTTCCTTTTCCCTAGTGAGATGCAGATGTTTATCCCCACAATACGATCTATAACACAATCAGGCAGAAGAGATGTAATGATTTTACATAAATCCCATTTAAATAACTAATTTTTACAAAACTTTATCTCAATTGTATCAACTTTATACCTCCACTTACAACTATTTTAGAATTCCATTAACAAGTTTCATTATTACAATACTGTGTAGGGGAAGCATTCCCAGCCAGACATAACATCTATTTCCAAAAAAACCATTCAGGCAAAGTTGACGTAACCTCTTCATATAATATTGGCTTAAACACTTTAATCTTTATACTCTTATCAACCTGAGCAGCCTAACTGTTGCCCCAAACAATTGTTGGTCAGGTTTCTTATTGTGATTTCTGCCTTCTGACTTTTTAAATTTTTCAAACTGGGGTGAACAGAACAGGCCTGTCTGAGGTCCTTTAATGTGGGGGGGCCCACAGAGGGTGCCTTTAGCCCATCCAATCTTAGGCAGTGTTTTATTAAAACCTTTGTTTTAACTTCATTCATATCTTTTCCATTCATCCCATTTTTCTTTTTAATAACTAGTTAAAGATTTCCATCTTGCTGAGATGAGACCTGTGACTCCTCCTTTTCTGAGTTTTCTTTGTTTTTGTCCCTTTAATATTTTTCTGATTTAATCCACTGTCTTATTTACCTTATTATTATTTTTTAACTCCCCTAAAAATTTCCACCTCATTGAGAGGAGTCTCTTTTCTCTCTCCCAGCTTCCCTTCACTCCTCTGTTAACTCAATGCCTTTATTAGCATCTGTAAGACTGTGAAAGGAAGCTGAAACCCCAGTTTAATTAAGCTTTTAAGACTAGTCATTGTATTTTCCTTTAATTCGGTATTTTCATAGGTACCAATAAAACAGCTGTTTATGATGAGAGCTCCCTAAAACTTTTCCAACTTAAGGATCCACTGTTTGGTCATTTTTTTCCCTCCAGAATCTGAAGACTCAGGAGTCTGTTGTGGCCATGTGCTGTTACAAAAGAAAACCGTCTTCTTCTTAGGCATGAGCTCATAGCTGAATATAGCCCATTTAGCCAAGATGTGGCCCTGAGGGCTTTTCCTGGGGATAGATGGAGTTCCCCTCCTTTCAGAATTACAAACATACAGAACAGACAGCCAGACGGGATCCCAAACAGAGCAGATGGGTGCACCCAACAGATTCCGGGTAAAAGTCCTACAATTATTCCCACTCTGGTAGGGTGCTTTATTAACCAGATGGCCCTGCCTCTCAAAGAGACAGGACCCCAGATGGAGGGGAAGGGAGCTTTTGGTGTGCACCCTAGGTGACTTACCCTACTCCAGATTGAGTCCGTTGACTCACCAGAAGCAAAAACAAACAAATCTAGAGCCTGTTTCCTTGCCATAAGAAAATGCGCCTGGGGTCAGTGGTGCTGGGTCAGATGGAAAGTACTGGGGACAGTCCCTAGGGCAAATCACCTAGGCAGCTGCTGGACTGTTTCCCAGGAAATCCCAGTTGGCCAGGGCCACAGAGCCATAGGCAAAGAGCCTCTTGGCTGGCTCGCCAAATTGTTACCGGACACACTTGTTCTTTACCTGCCACACAAGAGGGGCCAAATAAAAACTGGAATCCCAGGCTTATGGCTAGGAAAGGGTTTTTATTTTGGGTGACATCAGCCAGGAGACGAGAATTAGCCCTCAAATTCATCCAATCTCCCTGAAAGATGGTAGGGAAGGTGTTTTAAATGTTGCGAGGAATGTGGCTGCTTGTAGGGAGGGGAAACTGTGGTCCTTGCTGGTCGGTGCTTTCCCGCCAGCCTGCATTTGGCCTTGTGAGGCTGCTTGCAGGGAGGGAGATAGCAAGATAAGGGAATCTGCAGGTGGGTGTCCTTGGTTGTCTGCCTCTGTGGTAGATGGTGGATTCTGGCACCAGGAAGCCAAGAAGTTGAGGTTTGGGAAGCTTCAGCTTCTTGATATTCTCTGGATATCAGATTCCCTGTAATAAAACTTCAAAAGACCCATCCCTAGGCAAAACTTCAGTGTACACCCAGGTGAGGCCACCTGGGCTTTTAACAATTTATAACTTCTTTTTGCCTTGTGAAGGTCAGAGATATAAAGGTTTAAAACCCCAATATTTACATGTGAATGCAACTTAGAGAAGCAGGGAAAGGGGATGCTTGATTTTGGTTTTAACCTCATATATGCTGGGTTTAACATAGGGGAACTGATATCAGGGCCAGCATCACTGTGTCATTGACAGAATAAAACAGGTCTTTCATAAGCAACAGCAAAATGTAGGGTCCTTCTCT